GAGGGATTTTATGGGTCCTCTGAGGAGGATCCCGAGGAAGAGGCCGGGGTAAGAGGCATGATGTAAGAGTGGGAATGCTCGACTGATGTCGGCTGCTACTCACATTCTGGGGCTATTCGGCGCAGTGGGATTGGGAGTATCGCTCAGCGCAATACCCACGCCCTCACTGGCGAGAGCATTGTGGACATGGGCGAGCGCGCTATTGTGCGGAATGGATGGAGGCTTGAGATCTGCCGGTCCGTCGTAGGGAGAGACGCCGTGAGGCGTGGTGTGTGCTCTGGAGTTCTGTGGTCGGTATTGAGACGAGTTCAACGACGGGTTCGAGGTAGGCGGCTGTCTTTCCGGGAGTTGAACTGCGCCTTGCGCGGCGCCGTCGAGTCCGAGAGGCGGTATCCTGCTCATAAGGAGCGATTTTCCGAGGGTGCTGAGCTGGTTCTGGCTCGTATTACGCGAATGGGAGGTGGATGCGGTTTTGGGGGAGGAAGGTTGACGCCCGTCCTTGGCCTCTTCCTCAGTTATAAGAGGCATTGCAGCGCGGGCAGGGATACGCAAGCTTCACGTAAAAGTGCCCGGCAGGCCGCCACTCGCCGGCGGCGTTAATAATCCGGAGGTGAACGAGGAAAAACCTGGAGCTCGCGGCGCAGCCTCTGTTTGGCTGGGGACAAGCTAGAAGCTCGCAGGGCTCCAACGTCAGGGACTAAGTACCGGTAGTGCGCCTGGAGCGAACTGTAGCTGCGGTAGTTGTAAGATGGTGCCGAAGATGGTGCCGGGACGATGAGCGGGCGCGGCGGAGGGTTGATGGGTTGATGGGTTGATGAGGCCAAGAAAGAAGGCCAAGGTCGAGGCCGGGCAGGGTCAAAGGTCAAGTTTCATGGCCGTAACTTAGGTGGGCGACGATGGGAGGGAGGGAGAGATTAGGAATTTATCTCTGCCGTGGTAACTGTTGCGTACCTACACTGCGGTAGGGTTAGGTGCCTATCGCGCGCCTGTGTCCCATCATCGCCTTTCAGCGCCGTGACTGCTTCTGCCTTCTTCCACTGCCAGTTGCCAGTTGCCAGTTGCCAGTTGCCAGTTGCCAGTTGCCAGTTGCCAGTGCCCAGTGCCCAGCGCCCAGTGCAACGCCCTCCGCCCTTTCCGGACTATCTGCTATCAAGCCGCTTCCAGCCAATCACTCGCGCACGCCGTGGCCGTTGCGTTTGCGCGCGTCGTCGGCCGGCAGCGCAGAGTTGGTGAGGCTGCTCACCGGGCACTCAGAGGCGGCCGACACTGGTACTGCGACCCGTGGACGGCACCCTAAAGTTACGGCTGGGGGAGCCGATCGAGCTCCCTCTGCCGTCCCTCTCAGCCCTGCCGCAGTCCGCCTTGCATGAGATCAGCCTCTGCACTACTAGTACAGCATGTACCTTTGGGAGCAAGGCGACGTCCTCAACAAATAGGTAACTACATAAACATCTCGGTAAGCTATCTAGAATGGTCCGGACTACTTGCAACAGTATGGACTGATGCTCGCTGTGATACCGCAACTGCCTTCAGGGCTGTGATAGATTCATGGGGCCGCTGGAACTCAGCCCATATCACGCATGCGGACGGGTGTCAGTTCGAGGATATTCCGACACCTATCGGCGACATAAGTTATAGCCACCATCTCAGCTATCTCAAGCTTCTTGTCTCATCTGCAGCCACTCGCCTCCCCATGTCAAATGCATCTGGCACGCAATCCTCCCGTGCCCCCCGCCTCCTCCTACCTCGACAGCTTCAACGTCAAGACCAGTAACGAGATATATGCAGCTATGCTCAGCGCCGTCAACACCGAGACAACATTGCCGCTGGTCCTGAACTTCTTCCGCTGCAATCCATCCTCGCCCACCTCGGAGAAGAACTGCTTGTTGCCCTGCTGCCGCCGGAACAGACTCGTGAACAGCACCCCCGTCCCATACACGGCAAACAAAGCGCCGATTGAGTAGAACTCGGCCGTGAAGATCTTCAGCACCACCAACGCAAAGGAAAACTGGCCAAGTGCAGTGCGGATGTATGCGCCTTCGAACGTCCGCTGTGCTGCCCTGATCTCGACAAGCTCATCCGAGGTGAGTATGACGGACCGCGCTCGATGGAGCCGCAGGTGGTATCTGTCCGCCGCATGTCGACCCTGAGAAACGGAGCTGAGCATGAGTTCGCGGTCATCCTGTGTGCAACGGACTCCATGCGTACCTCGAACATGGCTGAGGTGGCTGATGTGATACACCGCTACCCGGCGCCGTCACCCCAATTGCTTTGTTTCTTGACTCGACGCGACGAGCGAGGGATTGTCAGGCGGCTTGAGCGATGATGCGGGAGCTCCACCGTCGGCTATGGGATGGGAGATGCCAGTGCTGCCAATAGCCGCACGACGTCAGCGGTTGATGATCTGATCGCGTTTGCGAGGTGCGAGGTTGAGAGCATCGGCCTCCGAATCAGCGAGGAATTTCGGCAAACCTGCGTTCGAACGGAATATGTTTCCTCACGACCGAGTCCTCTCCGCTTGCTCGCACGAGAAATGACAGTTCCGATTCTGGCATTCGATCCGTCTTCCACTTGTGGAATCACAAGAGTCTATCATGCCCCGCGTTACCTCAGCCTGTCTCGTGATGAGCTTGCCAAGGCTAGATACTGAGCTAGCTAGATCATGTCACCGCATCGCCGTGGCGTACAAAGTTTCCTCCAGGAAATCAGATGCCAGTATTCCGACAACATCAAAACTGAAGCTTTTCAGCCCCATTGAAGTGCGTAGAGTTGCATTTCCAGCTTCCTGGAGCGGCAGACAAAGACCCTGGATCCGTCGAACAAGCATCGTCATTGACAACATCCGTGCTATCGATAACTTAGGACTCAAACTTCCGCTGTACAGTGAACAAACATCGCGCAGCACAGCATTAACTCCAACAGACGGCAATCTTGGCTCGTAACATCTTACAGCGCATAGGCGCATTGTGTCTACCTACTCTGAGACCATACAACGTACTCTTCGGCAACTGCATCCCAAATCAACCCGGGCGCTTATCACGAATCCCAACAGCAACCCATAGCTCCAAACGCCGCATTTCGGGGAGCTTCATCATTGACTCGCTTTCTGGGCGTCGTGCGACCTCTAGACCCACCGAGCTCGATCCACACAAGGATATCGAAATGCCTTCCGCCAGAGCAGACTCGCAGACGGCGTCTAGAGATGCAGACGAGGTAAAGTCGCAGTCTGCTGCAAGCAACGCTTCTTCGGCCACGAAGAGGAAGCGAGGCATGGAGCCAAAGTTCTACGCTGTCAAGACTGGTCACAAACCGGGTGTTTACAGCAGTTGGCCAGACTGCCAGGCACAAGTGAAGGGCTTCAAGGGTGCTACCTGTGAGCATCCCTCCATTCTAACTGGTTTGTAGCACTGCAGCTCAGTTCTGACGTCCACGATTCGCATACAGTCCAGTCCTTCCCCTCGCAAGCCGAAGCCGAAGCCTTCGTGAATGGAAGCGCTGAAAAAGCTCGAAGCTCAACACCTGCCAAATTCTACGGTGTCCAGCACGGACGTGTTCCAGGCGTCTACACAGACTGGCCCTCCGCTCAAACCCAAATCACCGGCTGGACCAGACCAAAGTACAAGGCCTTCGCTACAAGGGCCGAGGCCGAAACATTCGTAAAAGAGGGCAATGGGAAGAATGCAGGAGAGGCAGTCGCCAACGTTGCTGGCGATGCGGAGGCCGCGGCGGCGAATAAGGCTGCAGCAAAAAAGAAGCAGAAGACAATCGCGCCGGTGGAGGAGGTAGATGAAGGTCCGTATGAGCCAGGCACGGGTCCTTTGCCGGAAGACGCCGAGGATGGCTTTGACCCGCGTATTTGGCTGAACCCGGAGACAGGCAAGGTGGAGATGAAAAGCGAAGAACAGCTGAACGCCAAGAAGAAGAGGCCTTCAAGCGATACCACTGGTGTGCTGAAAATCTACACGGATGGCAGTTCGCTTGGCAACGGGAAACTTGGGGCTGTTGCTGGTGTTGGGGTCTACTTTGGGCCCGGAGACGACAGGTTGGTTCTTCCCGCCCTTCCACGCTCGATCCAAACGCAACTGACCTTCCCCCAGAAACATCTCCGAACCTCTCGTCGGCAGCCGCCAAACCAACCAACGCGCCGAACTCACCGCCCTCCAACGCGCCCTCGACGTCGCGCCCCTCCACCGCTCCGTCGAAATCGTCAGCGACTCCAATTACAGCATAAACTGCGTGACGATATGGTTCCAGACCTGGCGCCGCAACAACTGGCAAACGAGCGCCAAGAAGCCGGTCGAGAACAAAGACCTGATCGAGCCGCTCATAGCGAGGATCGAAGAGAGGGAGAGGGTGGGCGTCAAGACGACGTTTACGTGGGTCAAGGGGCATGCTAAGGATGGGGGCAATATTGCGGCGGATACGCTGGCGGTTAATGGGGCGAGAGAGGCACAAGAGATTGCTAGGAAGGAGAAGCTGGGAATTTCTGGACACGTGAAGGCTGATGAAGAGGATTAGAGGGTTGTGGGGGGTGTCGTGGATGTGTGATAAACGAGTCTAGAGTGTTGTTGCGGATCGGACTGTATCGCTGGTCACCGCGCCGGGCGCTGCGGTCGGTTGGCCTGGTACGATTGATACCCTTGGTGATGGACTTCCAACTCTGGAGAGAAGAACGAGCTGGGGCTGGAATTCTCTCATCCCATTGAGCATGTTTACGATATCTTTTGGTTGTTTTGGAAACGAATCTAGTCCATTTTCTATGAGACGGGGTCGGATGGTAACAGCGCTCCACTCTAGCCAAGTTCTTTGGAGGGTTCTCTTCATATCCCGAAGCGAGTCCAACATCTACCTCTTCAGCAGTCCAAGCAAGTCTGGCAGATACGTCCGGGGATGTTGACGCACGCCTGTCCTGCTTACGGAGGAATATCGCGATTGACTCGGAGAAAAAGATTTGCACGATATAATCAGCACAAGTCAAAAGTTTTCCCATCAAATTACCTGGTGTTGTAGTGTAATGGTATCACAACACGTTGTGGATGCACAACGCCGTGTTAATCTGAGTTCGATTCTCAGCAACGCCACATCTCTTCTTTTGCCTTTTTTGCCGACTTTTCTCTCTTTTTCCCTCGCGAACTCGGCACTGTGTTCAGGCTTGGATGTGGGTGGGGACAGGCGTAAATTTTTGGCATGGTGGGGCGCGCGCGGGGGACGGAATTCCTGCCGCAAGCGCTGCCTGGGCCTGGAATCCACCCGCTCCCCCGCAACGCCTCTTTGGCCTTACAGCCCTTCAACCCCTTCAACCCCTTCTTCTTCTTCTTTTTGTTCTTCCCCATACACGCCTTCCGTACCAGTACAGGGTTGCTGGGAACTCGGACTCTCATCCACAGACGGGAGACGACGGAGTCGACGCTTGAAAACTCCTCAAAGGCTTCTTCTTCCTTCTTCTCTGTACGCGAGTACGAGTACTTGGCTACTTGGCGGCTGGAGAATCACATATGCGGAAGACGACGGAGACAGGCTGCTGGGGAGTCGGATTTGTCCATCTGCCGATGACTACGGAGTCAGGCTGCTGAGGAGTCGAACTTGTCCATCTACCGAAGACCACGGAGCCAGGCTGCATTCGTGTCAGCATGCGGTATCACTTGGAACGCCAGTAAATGAACCTTGTGGTGAAGTGCTGCATCTCAATTGATTATCAGATCCCCCTATTAAGCCGCCAAAGATCTAGCTTCATTTGTCAATCCATCAACGTCTCCATGATTACTGTCTCGACCGATTACATGTCAAGTTATACGCTTGGAAGAGTAGTGGCATGCACACATAAACACCCAACTACTCAGCCACATGGAAATGATTATTGATCATAAGGTTGTCAGCAAGAAGTCAATCACGACAATAGAGTTTGTTCCTCTCAACTGCCGATCCATGTGTCTCTGCCGGCGTCAGTCCCAGCCTCACAGACCAATATATCTTCACGATCCATCGTACAATAAGGTTCAGACCGAGCCGCGTGCTCATCACGGAGGCTGGACCGCTTCATGATCATTGGCGCCCACGTACATCCGTCCGTGCTGCCGGGAGCGGGTGGTGTCGACCTGGGTGGTGACAGACTAAATTAGCGGGCCAGCTCGGTACTTTTCCTAGCACCTCAGCTCCCGTCGAGGAGACGGCAGCTCTGATGAATAAGGTAGTTCGCACCTCACGCTTGCTCCACGCCGGTCCTCTTCGAAAGGGGATCTCTCCTCTGGATCGCGGGAACGTGTCGATCCACCCAGTCGCATTTCCTGCCGTCATCTCAAATTCTCCATCCCGGCTCTTGCGCTGCTTTCCCCAGTCAGCTCTGGCCAGGCGTCGTTTCCCTCCAGCGGACTTCGATGTCTGTCGGTATCCGAGCATGGCACGTTGGCTAGATGCGGCACCGGCGGCGCGGTTGTGCGTCATGCAGGTCTGTTGCTTGGGATGATAGGCACCTAGCTGCTACACTACATTAAGCGTATACATGGGGCCGATTCTTTCAATGTCGGCCATATATCGAGTGCTAACCTCGCTGTCTGGTTTGAATTGCTTCATTGTTGACTTTCTTACAAGCTGCAAAAATGTTGACATTACTACCACTTCTTCTCTCAGCCTTCCTCACACCTGCGATATCTGCTGCTCCTACGACTCATGAACACAGATTAAGAGCGCGCCAGCTGCTTGGCTCTCACTTTGGCATTCCAGGAATTGACGAGACTTATGATTATGTTGTCGTTGGAGGTGGAACCGCAGGATTGACAATCGCATACAGATTGGCAGAAGATGGTTCGAACAGCGTCGCCGTCGTCGAGGCGGGCAATTTCTATGAAATCACCAACGGAAATCTAAGCCAGATTCCTGGAAACGACATCTGGTGGACTGGTACTGATCTGAACGATACCAATCCTCTGGTTGATTGGGGATATCACACGACTCCGCAGCCAGTGTGTTGAACAATCCCCCGACCTGAACTACCGAGATGCTGACATGCTTCAGGGGGCCAATGGCCGGAAGTTACATTATGCCCGAGGAAAATGCTTGGGTGGAAGGTAAGTTTGTCTCAAAATCTACCCGACTCGATGTCATCTGACATTCGGCAGTTCTGCAAGAAACTACATGGCATACCACCGCGGAACAAAGCAATCGTACCAGCTCTGGGCGGATACCGTCGGAGACCAAGCTTATGCATACGAGAACTTTGTTCCGTTCTTTGAGAAGAGCGTCAATTTCACGCCGCCAGACACGGAATTACGCGCTCCGAATGCAACAGTGCAGTACAACCCCGACGTTTTCAGTCCGACTGGTGGACCACTCCATGTCGGGTATCCGCACTATGGGCAACCCTGGAGTTCCTGGTCGAAGTTAGGACTGAACGAAATCGGCATCCCTACCGTCCAGGACTTCAACAGTGGAGAGCTGCTCGGCGTGCAGTACTCAACGGCGACACTGAATCCGGATGACTCGACAAGGAGCTCGTCTGAATCATCTTTCTTGCAAACCGCATTGAAGAGTGGCCGGACGAATCTTCAGGTCTATGTTGATGCCATGGCCAAACGCATCTTGTTTGATGACAACAAGAGAGCAACGGGCGTTGAAATCGATTCGGCTGGAGCTAAGGCAACTCTGTCCGCAAGCAAGGAGGTTGTAGTGTCTGGCGGTGTCGTAAGTCCCCGTCTCCCACCATCCGCATCCATACTCATCCCCAAAACAGTTCGGCTCCCCTCAACTCCTCATGGTCTCCGGCGTCGGTCCCGAAGAAACGCTCTCCAAGCTAGACATCCCCATCATCGCTGCCCTCCCAGGCGTCGGCCAGAACATGTGGGACCACATCTTCCAAACGATGAACTACCGCGTCAACGTAAACACCGCGTCGTCGGTGGCCCCCAACCGCGGCGCCCTCTCCGCCCAATTCAACAACGGAACCGGGACCGGAATCCTGACCAACCCCGGCGGCGACCTCCTCGGCTGGGAAAAGCTCCCCTCGCAATACCGCTCCACCTTCTCCAACGGCACCGAAGCCGCCCTCGCCGACTTCCCGGCCGACTGGCCCGAGATCGAATATCTGCCTCTGGCCGCATACACCGGGTATAACCGCAACTACATCACCAACCAACCCACAGACGGCTACCAGTACACGTCCATGGACAACGCCATAATAACGCCGCTCTCCCGCGGCACCGTCACCATCGTCTCAAACGACACACGCACCCCTCCCCTCATCGACCCCAACTATCTAGACCACCCGGCCGACCGCGACCTCGCCATCGCCGCCTTCAAGCGCACCCGCCAGTTCTTCGCCACGCCCAGCATCCAGTCCATCGTCATCGGCGACGAATACCTTCCCGGCCCCTCCGTCCAAACCGACGAGGAGATCCTGGACTTCATCAGGGAGCAGCTGGTCATGCTGTATCACGGGTCGTGCACGTGTAAGATGGGGAAGGAAGGGGATGCGATGGCGGTTGTGGATAGCAAGGCGAGGGTGTTTGGGGTCGAGGGGTTGAGGGTGGTGGATGCGAGCAGCATGCCGTTCTTGGTGCCGGGCCATCCGATGGCTACCATTTGTGAGTTTTGCTCCCTGAGTATCCGTTTCTTCTTGAGATTTCCCTGGCCAAGGTTGCTGCGATGAAATGATGAGGGCTGATGATTCCTTTGCAACACAGACGCCCTTGCGGAGAAGATCGCGCACGACATGCTCACTGACGGCTACGAGTACTAATGACCTCGAGCTGCAACGTCGGTTCTTATTAAATAGTTTGGGCGTCGTTCCTTTCATCTGCTGTATTTGCACTACTAGCCTCCGGATTCCATCACTATTTCATCCAAGTGTCTTATATACGCAACCACGGCAATTGACCAAGATGTGAGCAAATCGGACGTTAATCCCTAATCCCCGACACGCGCTGGACTACACAACCACCCAAACACTCCAAACGACAAGACCGCTATAATGAAGTAATAAAGCTCACGCATCGCATGATAACGTTCCTGTCGCTCCAGTATATCGCCGCAAATCTTCCATTGAAGCTGCAAACCCACCACCACCATCATTGACCGTCCGTCCTCAGTAGTCCGCCAACTTCAGCCTCCTCCCGATATTCCTGCGCACCACCTCCTTGCTCTCCTGCGACTCGGCCGCGTTCTCGTTCTTGTTCGCCTTGAGCGCGTGCAGTAGCATGCCCGCGTCGAAGAAACCGTCTATGTGGGAAGAGAGAGGGGGATTGTCAGCTTCGTCTGACCTTTTTTTTCTGGAGGAAGAAAGTAGGGATGATGGAGAGAATGAGGGAAAGAAAGAGAAGGGGGGCGGGGGCGGGAGATTGTGGTGGGGTGACAGACTTGAGGAGATATGGGGGGAGTTTGTGGTGGGGGGATGGAAGTGAGGAGATATGGCGGGCAGATTGTGGTAGGGAGATCGTGCTGAGGAGATGCGAAAGGAAGATAACAGTCTGGGGAACCGTCGCCGCGCTCGTCGTCATCGCCGTAATGGGCGATAGAGGACCCGAACTTCGTCACTGACAGATTGACCGATGGGATGGAGACTCCTGCACTTCCACGCCAGGCGGCGGCAGAAAGACTTCCATCCGCGCCAACTGCGCCGAGCTCAGGATCTCGGGCCGCATGAGCCAAATCGACGACGGCGGCGAGCGCGGCGGCGTCGGCAGACCGCTCCGAAAAGTCGGGGGTGCCAGATATCCAACAACAAGAGGGTCGGTCGAAGAAGGGGGAGATGAAGGCGTCGGATCAGAACGAGAAGAAGGATCAGAACGAGGCAAAGTCGACGACGAGGAAGAATCCGAAGCAGAGAAAGAAAAAGGGGAGCGCCTACATCCACCCAAACCCTCCTCGTCACTCTCCACGATACTCTCCGTCATGGGCGTTCTGCTGGCACCCTCCGCCCCCGCCAACACGATCCTCCCTCTACTCTTCATTCGTCCGTTCTTCGGCCTCTGCTGCTCCTCCGCCTCCCTCGCCCTACTCGCGCCCTTGTCAGCGCTCGTGCCCCTCCGTCTCGTCTGCCGCAACAGCTTCCGCATTTCCAGAAAGTAGGCTTCGATGGCGTCGACGAAGC